CATTGAGGCTTCGAGACGACTGTCCCTCAGTAGGGTGTCCTCAATGACTTTACCCAATCCCTTTTAAAGTCTCCCTTGTTACTGGCCGTCTCCATATCACATCATCCTCATACCTTGTAATGAATTCCACAGATTAATTACACACTGTGTGAAAAAGCGCCTCTTTTGTCCCAACTCTTATTTCTCAAAAGCTTCATTTCAGGCTGCTGGTGATTTGAGAGATGAAGAAAGCTGCTCCCAACCCACTCTTCTCCACGCAGTGCATTCTTTTTTACATTTTGTAAAAACGTAAATGTTCCAGCTTTTTCTCAAGCCCCTAATCATTTCAGTTGTCCTCGTCTGCACTCTTTCCAGATCTGTTATATCCTTTTCAAATGTGATGACTAAAACGGAACATAGTATTCCAGCTATGGGTATACTATATATCCGCATAAGAGCATTACAGTGTTGGCAGTATTATTTTCAACTGCATCGTCATCAGTATGGACGTGATTTGCTATTGCATTCTTCCAGGATTCTTTTTTGACTTCCCGGTTTACTCTCTAGCCCTGGGATTTCCTAGTGGTCTCCCATCCTGGTACTAACCAACTCTGACCTTATTTGCTTTTCAAGACCAGTCAGGATTGGAGATCACACATTTACCATTTAGAATACAGTCACTGTTAAACTATATTAGTCATAGCCACCCCAGTTGTAGGGTCTTTGTGATCTTCTCCACTTACACTTGCCTCAGTCACATCAAAGATGGAACATAGTGAGACAGAAGGAAATGGACTAAATCTAAACATAGTGAGACCTTTCCCCTTCAGCATTTTGTTGAAAACCTGGCTGCAGCCTTTGTTTACAAGAATTACCTTTGTAAGTACAGGGAGTCCCCAGCTTAAGAATGAGTTCCCAAGGTCTGTCCTTAAGTCGAATTTGTACATAAGCCAGAACAGCGTTATTGTATAAGTAGTATTGTGTAATCAGCTCGAAACATTGTGTATTTAACTTGACTTTTGCTACAGTAGGCTCCATTTTTAACTATGGGTCGCCTTAAATCTGGCGTTCTTAACCCAGGGACTACCTGATCCAGCCGTGACTTAATGCCATGTCATGGATGAAACCAATCATGAAAGGGGAAGAAAGAGGAACATGAAGGACTGAGGGGGAAAGATCCCATTTTCCCCCATTTTTCTCTTCAAAATATTCTGCCTCATTCTCCCATCTCTCATGGCTGAGTGTTTTGTCAGTGCCAGACAGTATTAATTTTGGATCCTGAATTTGCAGAGGCATTGGAGATATCTGGTGGTGAAGGAAGAGGCTGGTGGTTCTGTAGTGGGGAAGGGGGGGAGATGTTGGTACGCTTGAGCCCATTTTCTGTGGTACAATAGATTATGAACTTACTATTGCTGACTTGTCTGTCAAGGTGGACTGATGAACCAATCCAGTTTAAAGAGAAACAGAGCCACCCTGGTGATCTTTGATTAATTGTACATGTTACACTAAGCTATGGTTGCTTAAGCATGACTCTTGAATAAACTACAGTTGCTGGCATCACACGTGGCACTAAGATATAATGTATGGCTTAGTGTAATGTATGTGACATGCACAAAACCCAGTCCTTCATTAATTGTTCAAGAACTGTTTGACTTTAAAGTCAAGTGTTTGTTTAAAATAAGCTCTGTGTGACCATTCCATCTTCTCTGATACGCATCTTATTTATTGTTTCTGTACATTTTATGTGTGAGGGCTCTGCTGCACCATTCACACACATGATGTTCAAGAATTTAGGAACACTGGTTCATTAGAAAGATCATGGTTAAATGGGAGTTCTTTGTAGACTAGGCCCAATAACTTCAGTATAAAAAATATTTAAATGGAATGACGAGGAAGTTGAAAAATCCATTCAAGCAAAGGAAGGTGGTGACGGTGGTGGTAGAGCTAATTCAGGAACTCACATTTAAAAAAAAAAAGAGTCTTTTGCACATATGGCCACAGTGATAAACCACCCAAGTGCTGGCAAAGTGTAAATGGAGGCTGCGTCATCGAAACATCCTGCTGGGGGCTGATATGAGCAGCCCTTGGGGTCTCTTGCTGGTGTCGTTCATATCACCAGGAATCCCAGTAGAGAAAAACAGTCATGGAGCCGTGTTGCCAGGACCTGGGGTGCTATAAAAACACTGAAGTGGAGCAACGATTATACATGCGTGAAGAATGCAGCATAGATGAGGAAATAATACATGTGTGAATAACAGAATTAACAGTGTACTCGCTAGTGACAGAAGTTCTCATTCGTAACAAAAGAAGCCAGTGCATTCCTATAGGCAGGATGCTAAGCGCCAGGGACCTCTCATGAGAAGCACAGTTGAAAGTAGACTAAAGATGGGTTTTTCACTGACCCTTCCCAGAGGTCAGCGTGTGCAACACACTACTGGCATTACACAAACAGCAGTAATTGTCCTGTCCTTGCTTTCGGTGTAGTCGTTTTCATGACTGAAATGGATCGTTCTAGCACACACCAGTTATGCTTTGTTGACTATTCGTAATCTAGAAGCAACCGCTCTTTAGAAAGCGATTCTGCTGCAACACGGTGGAAAAGAGCCATTCTAGTCCATTACGGATGCGTTCTCAGGCTGTAATGTTTCTGCTGTGCTTACCTGGATATAGATGTTATCAATACAGCAAGCTTCGCTGCTGGAAGGGCTGTTCTGTTCACTTTGGGGGGGTGGCTTTCACAGGGAGGAGGGAGCTCTGGTTCCTGTGCAAACTTTTTGTATGCACCAGCTCTCTTTGATCCTCAGGAGGCCTCTGGACTGGACGGGATCTTCCGTTACTTTGGCATTCTTAAAAGCAAGGGGACTAGCCATGATACAGGGGATTCTGTCCTTGGTGATCCTGAGTCGCAGGGACAAAGAACAATTTTAAGGGGAGAAGAGTGAGAACTCGACATGTGTGCAAGAGGGCTAGCCCTGTCATGGGTTTGACCCAAACCCGGAGCTGCTCATCATTATCTTGGGATCCAGCCCCTGAAAACCTGCATAATCCTTAGAAGCTATTTTTGCTCCAAAGTACTGTAGAGGGGCAACTTTTTGTAAGGAGTCCCAGCAGTCATTCATCAGGGCAATCATACAAGACACGCAGACAGGATGGGGCAATTGCTTGGTGGCCTCATTTGTATCTCTCTGCTTAGGGGATTGGCAGTATTAAGACATAACTAATAGGTGTCTCATGACTAAGCACATGTTGAAGGTTGTCGGGTAGACCAGGGAGGAGTAATAGTTGAACCGGAAGCAGAGGTGAAGGCGAGCATTACTTGATTGTAACAAAAAGGGCAAGGCAGTTTGAGGTTGATATTTTCCCTGTCCTCACACCCCTGTGTGAGGACTTTGGCATAGGAAAGGGACTCGGAGGGCCGCCTGGCATGGCAATATCAAGAACTGCTCTGCAGTACATTTGTGCAAACAGTTTTACTGGGGACAGTCACAGGATGCAAAAAGCAGAAAATGCTACCGTTACATTTTGCACGGTCTTAGAATTTGTAGGATGCCACAGTGAATTTGTAAAAACCTAATGGAGTTTTAAAGCTGTTGTGAGTTTGGACTCTGCTAAATCAGTGTTTGCAGCATTCATCTAACTATATATGTCAGCTTGTATTTATTTGGTTAATTGGCCCTGAAATCCTTTTTCGGTAATCCTATTTCTTGCCCTTTGCTGCTAAAGTTGTTCCAAAAAGAAAAAAAAAAGGCACTGGTTTTGTATGTCATGTAACTTCATCTACAAGCCATAAAAAGCAACAAAGAAAATGTTGTAAATTCATAAATATCTGATACTGATCGTAAAGTGAATTGCAACATTATCCTAAGTTTTAAATCCATCTGGATAGTGGTTTTACTTTAATGGTGCCTTTGTGCCACACAAATTTGATGAGCCATGTTTAATGAAAGCACTATCATGTATGTGAGTTGCATGCTCTTGCGAGATGGGGTAAAATGAGGAGATCAATAGTGCTTCTTCCCCCACTGCAGCTCAGGCTTTTAAGCAGTCAAGGCAGTGATGAAAGTTGTAGGGTCAGAAGGTGAATTAAGCTTTGTATTTTTCTTAGGGCAGCCATTAAATAGCAGAAGTGTTCTGAAAAGAGGTGAATTAATGCCAAGTCCCAGCATGTATTTTATAGAAACACAGAGAGGGAAGCCCAGAGCTTGAATATTGGTTCCATTCCGCCTTCCTGTAACTGAAGTCCATTTTTCCGCTCTGTGGCCTTGTTCTGTGCAACACCCCTTCAGGCGTTTGAAGGGCATTGCTATAACCCCTGTCAGTCATCTCTTTCCAGGATGAGACCTGCCCGGTTCCTTCAGTCTCTCCTTGCAGGACTTCACTGAGCAGGAGAGGTCAGGACAGGGGATCTTAATACTCAGCAAAGTGGGCCTTTGGAATTGAGGTTCTGCAGCTTCTTTTGGAGGATTTACATCGAACATTTCATCAGCGCAATTTTTCTTTTTTTGAAGTGGTGTTGCTTGGTCCCAGGAGGAAAGCATATCGTAATGTCTTGTATGTCATGGGTAGCCAGCTGTCAAGAGGAAAGCTGGGGGAAAACAAATATTGAAGTGCTTTAGATTATGTAGATTAATTTCCAAGACAAAAGGTGAGATGTTGTATCTCCTGATAAAGCCTGAAGAGTTATTCCAATTATTCTATGTCTTTTGAATCATGAATTTAGAGCAATTTCTCTCATATACAGCTCTGGACTTGGCAGATCTTTACCCTTTAAGTGAGTGAGAAAGCTCTCCTCAGAGCAGCCTGTTGCATTTCTTCATCAGCATGAACATCTCCTTTTGGTCCCCTTTAGATCTTAACGTTCGAGACCAAGAATCCGACGGAGCTGTCAGAGCGTCTGCGTTCCATCTGTGGGAACCAGAGCAATGCCTACGCCCGCCTGCTGGAATACCGCTTGAATGCTCTGCGTGGGCTCTGGAATGCCCAGCGCCAGCTTGCCTTAGAGGAACAGCACGAGAGGGACAGCTCGGGGGACGAAGAGGCCCTGGCCCTGCTCAAGCGGCAAGGCCTCCTCCAGCAATCCGAGCAGGCACCGTTCACTTCGCGGATGGGGCTGCTCCTGGTCTTCCCGCTGATTGAATCCCAGAGCAGGACAGACCCTTCCTTGTGCAACGTAACGGCGGAGGTCCTCTTGACTTGTCTCCGGGACTGCCAGCCTTTGAGTTTGACCAAGGAGCCCGCGGACTGTCTGAATGGCATCGAGTCGCTGCTCTGCTCCTGGCTCGAGGAAACCTCCGCTGGTGGCCAGCAGATTCCGCACAAGCAAAAAGAGAATGCAGCCGCTGCCCTGGTCGCCTTGGCTTGCGCAAGGTAGAGGAAGGGGAGGAATCTTCTTCTGCCCTTTGTGGCAGGCCTGATGCCCAGAGCAGAGAGCCTCCACTCGGCCGGATTGCCGGGGATAAGATTTGACTTGGGGTTATCATCTCCTTTGTAATGCTTACCTAAGAAAAATCCACTTCCTTTGTCTTTTCTGACCCCTGTGGAAGTATGTCACACTTGTTGGAGGCCATGCTGGTTTCTTTCTGCCCCTTTTTAATTATGTTGGCTTTCATAAGGGGTCTCTGCATTATACTGAATAACAGCAAACTGCAGAACCCATGGAGTTATTCTAGGGGTTTTGTACCTGTTGTCCACAGTCATAGTAACTTTACTTGGTGACCCATCAAGACAGAAGGCAAGCTAGCTTCTAATAATGAAGGTTTTCTGCAGCTCTGTGTCTGGATTGGGTGCTCAGTGAATGTTCTGCCAAGGAAAACATGCCTCGTGAGCAGGGGACAGTGTGCGGTTCCACCTCTTTCATGCTGATGTTCCGTCGTGGTTTCCTGAAGGGCCGGACTCCTCGTTCCTCTGAGTTTTGTGGCAGTCCTCACAAAGTGGAACTGGCCAGTACTTAGGGTCTCTCTTCACCCACGGCAATTGGTATCATTTTGCATTCTGACCACTGTGCAAAAGGGCCCAACAGTACTATTGATCCTGACCTAGATAGGTTTGCCTGCTTGTTTATTTCCCATCGGCTGTGTATTCTTTCACCGCTGGATTTGAACAAGCTTTAATTTCCTGCTGTATGTCAGCTGAGTAGAAACTAAACAATATATAATATATGGGTACCAGTCCCCAAGTCTTTTTTGGCATTTGTTGGAGTTTTGTGAAATGAGGCAGGAGTGGAATGTGTGTGCTATTGAGATGCGCGTATTTTTTGCGAGGTCAGGGTTTTTTCCCTAAGAGAGAGATGAAAGCTAATCTGTAAAAACGTGCCAGGCCCTTCTCTTTTCAGAGAGCTCTGTGGGCCTTCACTAGTATCTTGCACTGTCTGAGGAGTGACCATTGCCTTGTGATCTCTTTCTTTCCCCAGGGGTTCACTCAAAACATTTGTTCACACGGTCCATCTCCTGCAGAAACAGACTGATTTAGGATCCCTGCCTGTGGCGGATGTATTGTACAGGTGAGGAGGAGGAGGAGGAGGAGGAGAGGGGCAAGCATGCCCTGTGTTGCTGTAGATCAAATGCTGCTCCTAAAAAGCATCAGCACAGTCATCTGAGTTCATTTTTTTCTTCAAATATACAAAGCTGAAGTACATCAGTAGTTCTTATTGTTCATGCAGCAGCCATCTGCCATTAAAAGTATTCTAATGTTAACTCTCTATTTTTATGTAGTTCATTATTTCTATTTCACAGAAGCATTCATTTTTTATGTCTTCACATCTGCTCCCTGAAGGCTGCTGCTTTTAGAAGGTGGACCCGGATCACCCTCCTGTTTGCTAGGGGGCAAACACATGGTGTCCTGGGGCTTCGAAGACATGTTGCCGGCACCTGATGCTAACCCTGGCTCCAGCTCAGAAAATAAAGGTAATTCCTGCCTTTAAAATACCTGAGATTTTATATTTCGATAACAGGCAGGAGCCATGGCTAAATTATCACAAATGCTGTGTAGAGGCAGTCAGAAGGTTTTATTCCATGGAGAATGAACATTCTTCAGCATGAGGGATACGGCAAATGCTGTTGGTTGTAGTAATGTTGATTTTTCCAAAATGCATGAATAAAAATGCAATCCTGATAAAAAATGGGCCCTGCAAAAAATAAGGAGTAGGGAACAGTTCTACTTCCAGCCTCTTGATCTGCTCTTCTCGAGCTGAATGGCGCCTTTCACCTGCCCCTGTAGGAGGTTACTTCCAGAGTGCTCACCATTCTTCCGATTTGCCCTCATTCCTGATGCTCTCCAGTTTGTCAGTGCTCTTCTTAACATGCAGTGCTCAGACCTGGACATAGTAAAGGATTACCTGCAAGGCCGGACTAGGGGGTCAAGCTTTTTCTGAGGGAAAGAAATAGGTTGGCCTTTTGTAGACATAACGAGGGAAGCAGCAGTATGGGAAGCGCACAGATTACTTTGGCCGTGACTCACAGAAACATTTTCTGCATTGTTCCAGCAGTGGAGAGGTATGTCCTTTCCCCAAACACTGTGGCTTTGAAAATAACATCCTTCTGAATGCCTCTTACAGATGCAGACTTAGGACGCTGCCTTGCAGTAGATGGACTTTATCTTTATACAACCAACTCAGTTGGCCGGGGAATCAGCAAACTAGGATCTGGATTACACGGTACTTTACGGTAAGCCCTGCCTTATGAAGTGCATCCAGTCACAGTCTCCAAGAGAGGAATGGTCTGAACGCCACTTTGTTCCTGCAGGAATTGTGGCTTTTTCTGTTCTCTCCCTCTGTGGCACAAGAGGCCAAATGCAGGTTACCCAGTGACTCTTCCTTATCCTGAATCAAGGATTGTGCCTTTAGAAGATGAGTGCTTCATTAAACATTTCAGAAAGACAAAACTCCATAGGTTTTATGATGCAACAAAGGATACAAATGGGAGAAATGAACAGAAGTGCCTGATAACTGCTGAATTACTCCCCTGCTTTTCCTTTCAGAGGCTTTGTGTACTGCCGCAATGAGGAGCTGGAATCAGGCTGGGTGGCCTTTGGCAATGGCAGGCTTCTTCACAGGCCTGTCTCTTTTGACAATAAACCTCACTCCCTTTTCCAAGTCATCGATCAGAACACTCTTCAGGTAAAATCAGAGGTGTTTTCAGTTTTGTATCTGTTACATTGCTTGGCAACAATGCTTTGTTTGTGATAGAGCATGTGGTCCATTCCTCCCAATCTTTAATAATTGTACTTGTCTCTTGGAAAGCATGTGGTCTTTCAGAAAATAAGACAAAAGTACCTTGTGCACACACTGTCTTTTCCTGTGGAACTTTTTAATCAGCCCGCAAAAGCTTACGCCCCACAAAAAAATTACTTGAGAACTGATAAATATACCAGCTAAATACATGCAACTGTGCTCTGGATATTTCAGAGATGACTCAGTCTCTCATTCTCCCTTTGAAAGCTAGAAATCCATTACTGAGAATGCCCAAGGATTAGCAAAATACTGTATGCTGGCTGCGTCTGAGACTCTGGCCCCAATTCCAAGAGCTGATGCATCAGCAGACAGACGTCTAGCGTCGGGGATATGAATTGCCGTGCTGCTTAGCATCCCAACCCAATCATTACACTGGTGGTGCAGAGGAAGGTTAGGTGCAATTTAGCAAACGGATCTGCTAGACTGGTGTCCAGGATGAAGGAAATAAATGATTCCCAAGGCATGATTCGAACTTGTGCTTTCCTTTTTTAATATGTCGGTAGGGCCCTTACTAACAAGTAGACAAGTTAATATTAGGACTTGCTTCAGTATTTCTGCTGGGGGTATGCTATGATAGTAAGGCTTCTCCCAAGTTTGAGAAAAATTAAACCTTAGGGGGAAATTATCAGTCATCGGGGTGGAAGAAATTTCTTATATAGCTCCTGACAGAAGCTTTTTGTACCTCATTAACATTCCAGTGTGCTTGATGAGCAAGTGTGACTTTGCAAGTTGTGAATGCTTTGGTTTTGCAGTGATGAGAAGAAAGTAAGTTTTGTTTCCAGCACTCTTCTTTTTTAAAATAAGAAGAAGCTGTATCACTCTTCGGCATCTCTTTGAAATACAACTATTGATTTTAATTGTAAATTTCAGGCTGGCATATCAGCACACTTTATGCAGATCCACTTAGCATATTGATACTTTCAGAATCAGTGTTCCTAATAAGTGCTGGTAAAACGTAATTTCTCCTCCCTTCTGCCCCCTGCCCCCATTTGGCTTCTTTCTCTGCCCCAGGTATGCCAGCTTCTCCCAATGCCCCCTGATCACTTTCCCATAGGCAGCACCATGACCACGGTACATCTGTCTTCGGATGGGACCTACTTCTATTGGATCTGGTCTCCTGCAAGCCTGAATGAAAAAACACCCAAGGGACACTCTGTCTTCATGGACATCTTTGAACTCAAAGTGAGTATTGTTCCCAGAAGACTGGCAAAAATGTGGGCGCCTTCCAGGAGCAGATGTGATCTGTGCTGCAGTAGACATCCAAAAGCTCTCTCCTGTTTTGGTTCTTTGGACTAGGTGGAAGATGGCCTCTGTGTAGCTAGTCCCCTCCAGGAGCGCATTATCTTGATGAGGAAAGAGGGGGACTCAGCCAAGAGCATTAATGAGATGCTTCTCAGCAGGCTTTCGAGGTACAGAGCTTCACCCTCAGCCCCCTTGGCTGCACTGAGCTCTACAATCTCCAATACGCTGAAAGAGGACCAGGCGGGTACGGAGCAAGCTTGTCCCCGTGAATCCTTCCCTTCCTTGGTTTTGTTGCTTCCCAGCCCAAGGTTACAGCTGAGCCTTCTCGCTGAATGGGGCAGAACATCTCAGAAGCAGGCACAGCATCTGCTTGTCTGAGATGGCTTATGAAGGACATTCCTGGGGGGCTGTGCCCCTTCTCATAGTCCTGCCTTGGGCAAGTTCTTCAGGTCTTGAATCTTGCTTGGGGTTTCCGGGCACAAATATTTCACTTTGCTTCTCACAACTTCCACCCGTTTTTTCAGCTGCTAACACTAGTTGCGGTCTGCCTCTCAAAATGCTACGAAAGACTCCAATATATACCTGTGGGACGTATCTGGTGATGTTAGTCCCACCCCCGGGGGGCTCCGGCAGTTCTGCCACACGGTCTCTGTTTGGCGGAACCAGTGGCTTGTCATCCTTGAAAAGTAAGTTCTCTAGTTACTTCCTCCCATCTCTGCCTTTGGGCAAATCTGGGTGGGAAGAAAACAGCCTGGAATGGCTTTGTCAAGCCTGGAACATTTCCGCTGAAGTCGGAGAGGCCAGTCTGACTGTTCCAAGGGCACCCCAAGAGGTTGTTTTAACCTCAGAATGTTTCATGCACCTCTGTTAAGCATTGGCTGCGTGTTGTGCATCGTTCTTAGAATTACATGAACTTTTAAGGAATTGATGGCAGACTCCTTATTTAAAGTCCTAGCTTCAAGTTTGGTGTACAACATATCGGATGGGCAGTTTGCGAGCCGAGCAGACCTCATTGATGCTGCTGGGAGCTCACTTGGACGTGGCGCTCTTGTTCCTGGCCTAGGTAAGGACGGAATATCTGTCTTAGATACAGTCTGCTAAGAGCAATAGTGGCACAAGATGTTCCGAATTAAAGTCCGTAATTTAGTTTTCTCTAGCCATTGACTAAGTAGCTGTCAGGTTCAGCCCAAAGAACTCCACGAGACAATGCAAATACAGTTCTGTTGCGTTTATTAGCTACAACCTCCAGACAGAAAATCTCCCCAGATTGAACCCTAGTTCCCAAGCCAGCCAGCCAGCCACAGCACCGTGAATTCATTAGGGAGGTGCCAACCACATCTTCTTGAACTTCCCACGCTCCTGCTGGGGGCTAAGAACACGCTTATTATCTCCCTGAGCCTGGCCTTCATAAGTCCATTCCATCACAGTAGCTGAGCTTTTATGGAATGCTTAGGAGCATGCCACTCCTGAATACTCTAGTAAAAACGAACAAACAAACAACATTCTGATGTTGGTGGGAATGGATGCAGAGAAAGAAGACAACTTTATCCCAAGGGTATGTATATATGCACACACACACACACACATGAAGAGACAGAGATATGTTAACAACCAGTAATGTACCTGTGGATTTTTGTAAGCTTTTGCTCACTTTGCATCATAGGTCCCATTTGATAAAGGAAGTCTCCAAATGTTTTTGTCCAGGTGCGTGCTACGATGCAATGAATAACATGATCTGGACATGCTCCAACGACTATATTGATCAGTGGTGCAATCCTGGGAACCAAGCCTTTCATTACATCTGCCAGAGGCTAGGAGTCAGCCATGTAATTTTGGAACCACAAGGTAGGGGGCAAAACACGCTGTCAGCACCCTGTTCAGAGAAGGTGTCAATGAAATGGGAAATGGGAAGCTGTTTATTTCTTCCACTGTAATTGGTGCTGTGCATGCTTAGGAATAAACTTGGGTGGCAAAAAGGATTTGCCATCATGAAAATCAGAGCCGTTTGTTTTTATAAACACCATTGTGCTTCTGTAAGAATAAGCCTAGTTAAGACTTTCACAGCCCACAAATGGGGCTCGAATTGCTACAAAAACATATTTCTCTCTCTCCCAAATTTTAAATTATTTGCAACTTATTTGCATACAGTTGTATGGAAACACGTTTAAATGATTAACATTTTATGCCGGACATAGTATTATTTGAAAGAGTCTATAAGCCCTGGTAATATCTTGAAATACCCATTGCCTATTTATTTGAAATTATTTCTGAACAATAATTGGAGTCACCTCTCTGTCTCCTTTGTCAGTGGTGATTTATTGCCTTTGCCACGCAAATTTAAAAAGTGTATTATTATTTTTCCAGGAGATGCCATAACCACAAATGTGGTTATCAATCAACTCCTGCATCACATTGGCGCTATGTGCATCCATCAACTCAACCTGCTGGCAGCCAGTAGCAATATGCCAGTCACAAATTTCCTGGGCAAACAACACCCGATCGAAGCCCATCACCTCAGCAGCATCTGTGACATTATGGAGAAAGCCATGGTCAATGGGGACACTCGCATCATACGCTGCACCCTGGTGGTCTTCCAGGTACGCATACCGGATTGGTGCGCATCTCTGGTCACATTAGTCTGCCCCTGCAAGTGGGGTCCTAATGCTTCAGTGCTGGGGAGGGGCAGACTTCCTTGGTGCAGTCTCCGTTCTGCATTTGGGAAAGAAGTGGGGCGTCCCACCAGAGAGTTTTCACCCGCTGCCACTCAGAGGGTAACAACAGTTGGGGCATTCCTGAGTCCTTGATTGATTTAAGTTGTGTTTTGGATCGTTGCTGGCTGGGGAATTCTGGGAGTTAAAGTCCACACATCTTGAAGTTGCCAAGGTTGAAAAACACCGATCTATGGGAGAATTGTAAGACCTGCCTGCTTTTTGCAGTTCATGCAGAAAAAATAGGAGAATTTGAATGTATCCCCATGTTACCCTGTTTTCTTGGACTCTCTTGTCTTTTTTCCTCAATATGAGCCATTTGAACAAACCTGGTTATTACAACAAATCAAGATAGGAATGCAAATAAGCTAAAAACCAAACATACATTACTTTAATGGCTATGCATACATTTCTCCCTCCCATCTTCCGTTCTAATGCTTGCCCTTGCAGGTGGTTTTTAAATTTTTCTTCAGCCCCCAAACAGAGAAGAATCGTGACATTGTAAGGCGATCAGGCCTCTTGCTCTGGCAGTTACTGATGGCACCAGTAGACCAGATCAGCCCTGAAATTCAGAAGGAGGTCTGTCTGGCCATCAGGTATGTCATCTGGCCTCATTGCAATATATCAAAGGACTCTACGTTGACAGGAAAGTTCATTTCTCATAAAATGAAGTAAATAAAAATTACAAAGCAGCTACTCTTTGCTTTGTTTATCAGGTTGTGTGAATTTGCTGTGCTGTGCACTGAGCTTCAGCACATTTAAAAAATATATTCTTACTACAACCAAATGCTACAAATTTCCAGATGGGCATCCATAATTCATGTTGTAGCAAAAATATTACCAACAATTGAAAGCATACACTACAATAAATCAGTTTGTCTTCAAATATAGTGCTCTTTTTTTGTGTGTTTTTGTTCAAATGCTAAATGTTGCCTTTTTCTGCCATTTTAAGTTCTGGACTAAGTATCCTGTACCCTGGAGAAACAGAAATTAATAACCTACTTAAGCTGGTCTTAACTGAAGGTAAGAATTTTTTAGATGCTGGAGAGCAAATTAATTTGTGAATTAAAAACACACAATCCAGAATACACAGCCTGTTGCGTGCTTAAAGCAACAGGTAGTCTCAGATAGTGACAGTTTTGCAGCATAATCAAAGGCCCTCTACTTACCTTCCTCCTTGAATTGTTCCGTTATAGGAGACAGGAACAGCGGCCTGGCCCAGCTTCGAGATGTGATCCTGACCAACATGGCTGAACAGCTCCAGAACAACAGATTTGGCAGTGAAGAGGATGAGCATTGCAGGTAAACCTCCCAAGCCGGGGCTTTGCAAACTAGTGGAATGAATCTGGGAATTTACTTCACTGTGAACTAAGATCAGCAGGAGAGGCCGTTTTAAAGACACCCAGCTTTCGGAAATGTCCTTGGCATTTGGAAAAGGGCCGCCTTTGCCTCACTTGCAAGGTATGGAACTTGGACTTAGCGCCTGTTCTTCTCACCGTCAGGAAATGAGTGAAGTCTTTCCTCTGACTTTAGTTTTTTAACAGGATCTCAATTATGGCATATTGTGCTGTGTTTTGATTTTATCTGCTTCATATGCCCTATGGGTAGAAAGGCAGGATATAAATAGAAATAAATAAATGTAACCAATGACAGCCTTATGGAAGCAAAGCATAAATACACACTGAAGTATAGATAAGACAAACCACCCAAACGCATGGAAAATCTTTTCCCTGGTGCCCTCCAGTTGTGTATTAAATTAATACCCCCTACATTTCCAGACTGCTGAACTAACTTTCCCTAAATTGAACGAATACGCCCTGAATTTCCTGTCGGCTGAACCAGACCATCCACTGAAAATTGACCAAGCTGTAGGTCTTAGCTGAGCTGTTACTGCAATTAAGATAAGAACTCCGTTAATGTGCACTCGATTTAATTGATCGACATGGACAATTTTCAAGTGGTGGGGGAGAAGATCACTGCCCCTTCTATTCCTGAAAAGGCAGCTTGTGAAGAAGCACATAATTAACACTTTCTCCGCTAGGGAAATTAATTCTCTCCCAATACCTTGCTAAGAATTTCAGCAGAAATCATTGGCGTAGGTAGGATTTCCGTACAGACGCGGGTACAGGAGATCCAGTCCTTTTGAGTATTGAACGTTCCAAAGGAAGCAGCCCCTTTGGCCGTGTGCTACCCTCCCCAGTTGAACTGTGCTCTGCCAGTTCACCAAGCAGCTCTCTGTCTAGGGAGGGAAGGTGAAGGAAGGCTATCTTGATGAACCTGGTTCCTGATTCAGGCTTGTTTCCCAACCCACTGAACAGCAGAGCGGTGGACTTCAGAGGGTGGTGGAGAAAATTGCACTCATGAGGCTGGTCGGCGCTCAGAGAGGTTATCTGTCCTTGCTTGGATGGAAAGAATGAGCAATCAATCCAGTACAATTTCCTTCTGCTTCCCTTACTAAGCATTACTCTGCCGATGCCAGAAAGCTTCTCGTGAAATGAGGCCACATGAGCACGATCCAAAGGGCAAGCGCTCTTGATCGAAACTTCGGAGTTGCTTGTGAAGTGGGCCTGCAGCACTCCCTGGGCAGTTCCTTAGCTTTGGGCCAGTGCAGGCGAAGGGGATAGAAAGGGACAAGCTCTAGGGCAGCTAGGTGTGGCTCTGCATGACTGACATATTGAATGCACTGCAATTTGCACTTGAGTCCCCATATATTCCATTCTAACCCTTCATCCTTTACCACGTCTGTTCTGCCTTTGAAGACTAAATGATGAACTTTTGCACTACATTCTCAAGATTGTTGTCCGAGAATCTTGTATCTTAATCACCAAGTGCCAAATGGTCTCCCGAGATGAATTTCAGAGGCTTCTCTCAACTGTGCCTGTGAGTAACAATGCCTCACTTGCTCTCTTCGGTGGCCGCAGTCAGGAGAGTGACAATGCCATGGTCACTCCAAGGTTCGGGGGAGGGGGTCGGTTCTCCCCGTGGGCAGTTTGGAAGCTTGAGCCGTCCCTGCGACTGCAGGCAGATAGCTCTGTCAGTCTGTGTCTCCTCCTCCTCCTCCTCCTCTTGGTCCTGCTCTAAAGGTTAACATTTGGTCAAAAGCATGGACTGTCAGACGGGGTCCCTGTTTTATTTTTAATTTAATGTTAAGCAATCTCCTGAGAAGGCTTAGTATTAGTAAATGAAAGAGTGACACTGTGGGATGTCCATAGGCCAGATCACACCCTCAGCCAGGAACTCACTGCAAAAACCAGCCAGCATGTTCAGTTATGCTTTTGATTTCATTTCTAAGGTATTTTTGGAGACTTTGGTAGAAAAGTGGGTTTAAAGTGTATGCCCGGTGTTCAGTCTGAAGACGGACTGAAGCATGAACAATAAATTCAATCGTATAGGTTGAGTTTGTGCATTTGCTGAGGTCTAAATGTGACTCGGCGGGTTTGCAGGTCAGCACATTAGGCAAAGCCAGCCTCGCTCTACCCATTGTATTGCTCAGGTGCCAAGCAGAGGGGGAATAATAGAGGTGGGTTTTACAGGAGAAACGGAACAATGGGTAACCTGCTGTTTGGGGCAATAAAAGTTCTGATGTAACATCTAGAAAATCATGAACAGAAGGAGAAGGGTGCCAAGGTATTTATCACTTATTTATTATTTATATCCTACCGTTCGGCCCACAGAGCAGTAGATGAGGCTATGTTTAAACCAGATCCTTTGTATCCATTATACCAATTGAAATTCTGGACTCTGGCTATCCCAAACCAGGAAATGCTGGATTTTGAGCTGCTTGTATTCAAACGTGCACAAGGCATCTATTTTCCATGCTGTATTTGCTACTTTTAGGGGAAGGTAGTAGACAAAGGAATCCTGCCCATTGATCTTTCTGCTGCCTTTCCACCTCCTGAATTTTCAGTAGGCCTGCTTCATATTTCAAACCACTCACAGAGACTAGCAGCTTAAAAATGAAAGCTGAAATTCCCCGCCATCAGAATTCTGCCATCTTGCATGGATTTCTGTGCTCCCACAAAATCACACTATATATTTACAGCAGCAGAATCCATTTTCTGTTCTGCTAATATCCTAAAGTATTTCTGGTACTCTCAAATTCGTCACTGTTTTTAACGTAAATGTGATGACTTAATACCAACTTGTCTGACAGCTGGGTAAGATCCAGGAACTTGTAATACGTCTCCCGAAGTTTAGCTTGAATTCATGTGTCAAAACATTCTTGTACTTCTTTGCCACACTGTGATAATGCAGCTAAAGAAGGATTGAACATTTTCTTTGTATTCTCCCCTGTTTGTGAGTTTCCTTTGGACCTCAAAAATAGCCTGCTGGCTTTTCTTTGCTGCTTTGTGAGGGAATTGTGTTGAGACAGTAACACAAAACGTCCTCGTTTGTCTTAAAGGCCGCCTCTGCCTGCCTGCGGTACCTCATGGCTGTACAGAACCACCTTCTGAGTAATACCGTTTTGATTAAGCCTGACGAAAACGATGACAGTGACAGCTCCTTGCAGGGAGAGACCTTGAAGGTACAGGTAAACACCAAGTCTGAAATTCCACTGCCCTTGCTTTCTTCTGACCCTCGTGCTGCTGCATCTTCAGCCAACGGGTATGCCCTCTCCGTGCTCACTGTGTGTGGTTGTTGTGGCGTGACTTCATGATAGAAAGCTAAGAGGCCTCTGTGCTTCAGCTGGAACTCTCCAAAGGGTAGCATTTCTTTGCCCTGGTTTGGGTAGCAGTGGTTAGAGCTACACGGGGCTTCTGTAGACTCCTTTGCATCTGGCAGTGCTCAGAGGGGATCAGCATGTCCTGCTCTCACACATTCTGGTCCAAATACAACTACTCCTCAGTGGTTTGTGTGTTCTGGTGAGCTGCCTAGCTTTCTGCGTGGCCAGTAGCTTACATTGCTAATGGTTCAGTGGCCTTCAAGTTATTAAGTTGATTGAATTCATTAACCACCCCCCATTTTTTATATTTTACATTTGAACCCAGAACGACATCACAAAATGTAGAGAAAGGCAAAGACTAAAGGAAAACTCCATTTGAGGCCAAGAAAGGGCCGGGAAAATGCAGATCAAATGACATTTCCAGCCTCCTTCCTTCAGCTTAGAAAACTCATCTAAGCAATGGGAAATGCTGGGCCCTTTGTAGGTCCAGTCGAGTTTACAGCTGGGGGATTAGTGCACCCCAGAACAATTCTCTGCTCACCCTGGCTTGCTCGCCTCAGCCCTGTCTGGAAAAGCTCACGCTTTCTTTCACTTGCTGGATCCCTGCAGGCAGTCAACCTGTTTCCAATAAACTTCAGTCAGTAAACGTAGAATTTCCAAAGGCTTCCTCCCCCTTTCCACACACTTCAGGGAATGCTAATGCTCTCCAAAGGAATGGGGCGACATGTTTTTTCCTGGTTGGCTTGGCCTCTGCTATCCAAATGATTTAAGATTAGGAAGGGTGTGGCTTGATCCACTGCACCCTCACCTTGGCTGAGCCCTCAAGTGTGAGTGGGCCTGGATAATTATTGTCCGTCTCCTTGCTGTTCAGTGGTGTAGTTGTTACTCATCCTTTATTGTCCCTCCGATATGTACATGAACATCTGAAGTAAATGCTCAGTGTGTCCACACCATGTCTCATCCAACAAACACCTTTTGTTTTTGTTTCCTTTCCGTTTCTCTCTGCAGTTGCTCTCATCCTCTCTTCCCTTCTAGGACTGTTTCGTTCCTTGTCTGGCCAACAAGCAGGCTGGATTAATCGTTCTGATAAGTACTTGCAGAGTTGGGCTCGGCCTGCTTAGAGACCCTGCTGCACTGTCAGCTGGCTGGAGTTTCCTGTGCTGCTCCTGCCCACTCCAATTTCCCAAAACTCCATGGCAGCACAGAAAAAAGGAGCAATCAGGGAAATGGCTGTGATGTTTCCAGCAATAGTTAAACATAATGATACTATTTCAGTTCTAGAATAGATTTTACTAGCAGGCCAGGCTAGACATCAGTCTGAAGAACCTTTGGGTTGGTGTGTTGTGGTTTAGAGAGCCGCTAAATGATTCTCCAGTGAAAGGTGTTATTAATTCAGCTTCCCCAACCTGGTGCCCTCCAGACATGTTGGGACTCTAACACCCAGACCTCTAGAATAAATGAAGGTGCTTAAGTATTTTAACCATCGGGTTTCACTACATACAAATCCTTGTTTTTACAGTCAGAGGTGGAGCGACAGGAGCATCATTCTTGTGACATTTCTTGTTTCTTTTGTTAAAGGCAGCGAAGTGTCCTGCCTTCCCCACCCCAGACTGTCGATCCACCGCAGAAGAGCCTGAGTGGGGCTGGTGGGTTGGTGGATCTCCCTTGGGTCCTGGTGCCCTTCAAACCTTCTTCAACTGAAGGGATCGCTGTTCTCTGCCTTCAGAGATCTCTCGCTGCCTGGCTTGTTATCATGTTCATCCCATTAACTTTGGAAGCCTGTGTTTATTTTGCATGTGCCTCTGTGTTTGATTTAGAAACGAATTATTCTTGGGGGCATGTGAACGCAGTTCTAAATTTTGTTTGTCTCCTTTTAGGAGCTCAAGACTAGTATCTTGGCTTTGGCCATGCAGATCCTGACGGGGTGTGATGAAGTACTGGAGAAGCTGCAGCAGGTCACCACAGCCCTGATAAACAGTGATGTGCCAGACAGGGAGCAGAGGTAAGGGGCTGTATTCCGAAAAGGCGTACTCTGCCTTTCTGTCCAGAATGTTGCAAAAATATAAAATGAAAATACATCCAGTCCCACAGCGTTCAATGCTGTGGTTGATGAATGAGCACGTTTGGCAAGGCAAACCCTAACCCTAACCCTTGACACACACAATGGTGCCCAAAAACGGGGGGGGGGGGGGGAAGTAATTAATTAAATCAAACCATTATTTTATCACATTGGTTGCCATACATGGGGCGTTTGGGGAACTGTCTCTCAGTTTCAGTGCACGCGTGTGTCTCAGCACGTGGCAGCATCAGCCCTGTCTGAGTAAGACCTGGATGGGCAACCTTCAGGGAATACCCAGGCTTAGGCTGGAAAATTGAAACCATATCACAGAAGAAGGCAGTGCCAAAGCATTTCCATATCATGGCCAAGCAAACCAAATGGATGTGTCCATCAGGGATGAGACGCGATCTGAGAGTGCCTTTGTGTATCAAACAATGGCTAACCGTTGTTGGACAGGCTGTGGGATTTCAGAAGAATCAGGCTCAGGGTCAGATTCTGAAGCCAGGGCAGGGGACTCGAGGAGGGAGGGAGGACCCCAGGGCGTAGGGTGGGGGGACGTGTCTAGAGAAGGTGGCCTATAAGGCATGCCCTCCCAACGCGGAATCGGGGGCGGGGGTGCTCTTATTGCAGATTGAAAGGCCTGGAGCAGGTGACCAAAGCTACAGTGCTCGGCCACTTGCTTCCTGTGTTGCTGACCTCCCTGATGCATCCGAACCTCCAGACGTTGATGGTGGCTGATCCTCTTATGCCTCAGCTGGTACAGCTGGTCCTCTACACAAGCCAGGTATTGCCTGCTTTTCTGCCCTTTCGACTTGTAAATCCCCCACCCCCGGGCTTGGAACTGGCCTCTAGACCTCATGGCACTGGGTTACTACAGAGAGGATGCGCTGCTTTAGGAATTGTGCGATCCACCACCATCCGTAGAACTTGCTGAGCCTGGAGAGTTCCCATGCCCTCCTCAGGCAGGTGGTTGGATGGCATGGATAGGAAGGCCAGTAGGAAACCACCGGGCGAGGCTCTGTGGAGTAAATATTCAGCCTCGTCTTCCCTCACGCAGACACATGGAAAGGACGGGCTGGGCTTTGAGGACAATGGGAGGCATAAAAAATGGACCGTGGCCTGATTCCATAGTTAAAACTTACCTGATTAATTTGGAAAAAGTGGGAATGATTTCTGGTCCCTGATCCTTTTTTCCTTCCCTCATGCCTTGATCGCACAAGGTTTAACTACGTGAATAAGTAGGAGCAAGGAAAGCATTGAAAAAAGGAGCACTATAAACTAAATAAGCTATTTTTAATGGGTTTCTGCTGAATATTTCTTCTGAAGGGTGGGTCATAAGGTTCAGCTGGGTACCAAATGAGACAAACATAATTTCTACTGGGTTACTTCCGTAACACATTCACGTCTCTTTTCAGCATAAATATTGAATATTTCAGCATAAACGTTGAATAAGAACGCCTAACATTTGGCATTTCTCATTAGCATTGGAAACGAACGCATGATTTTTTATTATGGCCTTTGGCCAGTTGAAACCCTGTCGATGCACTTACATGTGCTCCCAACTCTGCGGTGTTTGCTGTGCTTGGGTTGCTTTTTGTTCTTCTTCTGTTTCTCCCGCATCAAGACAAAGCCTTATGACACGTTTGCGCTGGTGTTGTGTTGCAGACAGCCCTGTTGCTGAAAACCCAGTCTCCGTTTTTTTCTGACGCGGGCGGTTCTCCTGGAGGAGCATCTGAGCCAAGGAGCAAACTCTTCCCCGATGAGAGGTGATTGGCATACCCCCCCCCCAGCGTTCTCGATTAATACCCCCCGAGCACGCTCTCTTTCACTCACTGGAGATACTGTGCCTGGAGTAACTGTTCTTAAGGGATCATTCAGAGACGAGGAGTGCTCCCGAGATAGCCTTAAGCTGCTGCGGAAGCTGCTTTTGAGCTTGCGAAGAACACTCCTGTGAAGAGCTGAAAGTGCTAAGACAGCCACAGTTTTTCTTCTCTCCATGGACTTAGCAACCTTAAGGCCCGTACAAGAAAAGCAGCAAATTAAGCAAAATATATATTATTATGTTCCAAGAGCTTTTAAACAACGGGCAAGATGGTACTTTGTACCCTGCTTCTTATTGTGACAGCAATGCAAGCATTTGGCTTTCACAATTCTTTTAGCTGAGGTTTAGTAGATCCTACAGAGTTACTCCTTTGGTAATTTTTTTTTTTATGCCAGAATGCTAGAAGAAAAAGAAGAACCTGGGTTTCTTACTGGCTTGAAAATCCCAGCTCCATGGGCTGCTGGCAAGACAGTAGAGACAGTTCATCCAGTCAGGGACAACTACAAATTTAAGGAGACGGTGCATATTCCGGGAGCCCGTTGCTTGTACCTGAGGTTCGACAGCCGATGCTCCTCGCAGTACGATTATGATAAGGTCAGTGGGGGCCGGACCATATAAGCTCCATTTTGGGCAGGGCCATGAAAAAGTTGGCCCCACTGAAGCAGGAGCAGCCTTGCTCCCAAGCAGTCTCTTTTCTACAGAAGCCATTTCTGCCCAGGGCGTCCCTAAAGCATTTGCCTTGGAGAGGTTCCTCATGATGGTTTCTGCAGGGTATAGTCAGAAGATCCAAGATGGCAGCTACGATGGTGCATCTTGCTGGCTCCCTTCTGAAGAGTTCTTAAGAAATGCTTTCAGGGCTTATATTTGCCCTGATGCCGTTCTGCTGTTCCTTTGTGTTTATGCAGCTGGTGATATATGCAGGACCCAACACAAACAGTCGGAAGGTTGCTGAATACGGAGGCAACACTTTAGGATATGGCAGCCGCAGCGTCTTGGGGACTGGATGGCCTAAAGATTTAGTAAAGGTACAGAATAGCTCTTTCCCTTCCCTGCTGATGAAATTTCAACTCCAATAAAGAGGAAGCCACTTATTCTTCGTACATACCTATAGAACAATAGATTCCCTTGATCACATACGTCATATCATGTGTAGGAGAATGCCATTTTTAGCTTCGTTACATAGTTTGTAATGTTAAAATGTGGAGGTTGGGAGGCCAAAGGCAGCTTTTGCTTGCTTATTTAATGGAATCCCTTCTTTTTCAAACCATCAGGTGGAAGGGGACACTGTCACGTTCTCTTTTGAAATGCGGAGTGGCCGAGAACACAACACTCCAGACAAAGCCATGTGGGGCTTCGCCTGCACTGTCCGAGCACAGGTATGGGCTAAGGTTCCCTCCAGCATTTCAGTTTGGATAGTAAGTAAAATCATCTAAATCCCAGCAGTGTTCTGAACACTAATGCAAGGGATGAAATGTGGTGGGAGGAGGCTGAACACCAGGCTGTGCTTAATGAGGCAGTTCACAGTTAATTCACTGCTCCTGAATGGGTACAGGATGGAAAGAAAGCAGTGAGCTCACAAAGTAAACGTGCAGACCCTTGGGAAATTCGTTAGGCACGTCTTAGCAACTCCCTCCAACTTCCTTGAGTTAGAGGCGTCTTTCAGAGCCATCTTTTTTTGAATTTGTGCTCTGCTGGGTTGGCTCTCTTTCAATGTTTGTCGTTTTTATTCTTATTCATATTATATGGGGGGGGGGTGCGCGTGTGCGCTCACCTGTGTGCAGACCAAAAGACAAGGCTATAACCGTCTGTGTTCTCCCTGCTTCCCCTTCACTGCAAAGGAATCTTCCGAAGATGTGTCTGGAGGGTTGCCCTTCCTGGTAGACCTGGCTTTAGGCTTGTCTGTCCTGGCTTGCTCTATGTTGAGGATCCTGTACAATGGGCCAGAAATCACCAAAGAGGAGGAAACGTGTCAAGAACTTCTGCGGTCCAAGCTTTTACAGAGGTCAGTAGCACAAACTATGGCTTGGGGGAAAGAAGGCAAGCCGCTGATTCGTGGCCAGAAGCGAAGCACCTGTTGGTTCCTCCATGGTAGATTGTTATGTTAAAGAAAGCCGGATGTTTCTTCCCAGTCAGTATGAATGGCAACACCCTCTTTCCTGCTTTTGTTTTCTAATCCACATCTTTTGGGGATGTGTTGCTGTAGAGTTGCTGGAAGGCCTTTGGGATCACAGTAGTTTGAGATAAAACTGCCTGGATTGAAAAGCAGCCCAACCGTTTCTTGTGCTATTTCATTTTGCAGATGCCAGTGGCAAGTGGAAGCCAACGGCGTAATCTCTCCAGCTCTCACTCCAAGCCCTTCCCCGCTGCCTCTTACAATCGATGAAGATCAAGAGTTCACTTACCCATCAGATGTTCTTGTCCCACCTGTTGGTCACTATTTTGACCTGCCCCGAATTAGACTCCCTCCCGGAATTATGATCAAGCTCAGGGAAATATCTGGTCGTGCTCGTCCTCAGTTTAGACCTAGCATCAGGTGCGTGTGAACATCTTTTGGTCTTCTTGTCTTTCTCCAAATCCACAGCTGTAGATGACTGTTGGCTTTGTCAAATACTGGTCTTCTCCCTAAGTAAACAGAAGAGAGAGACTTATTTCATCTCCCTAATTATTACTACAGAATTTATTTAGGATATTAAGTTTCAGCGCTTTTAAACATTATTTTTAAAAGAAACATTACTTTAAACAGATGGTCTTGTTAGGGTTTTCATTTCAGTCTTCCCTTTTTGCCAAAACTGTAATTTTAAAGACCAGTGAGCACGATTCTTGGTGTCCCTCTCTGCTCCTTCCAGGTGCTTTCAGGTGGCCCTCAGCACCAGCAGTTGGGAGGCACCCAGCAGTTATTCTCCTTTTCCCTCCGTAGTTGGTTTTTGTGATTGAAAAAAACAGGTGGAAGAAATGGAATGAGAGGACTGATTGTTGTACTGTTGTTAGTAGACATCTTGGGTTAATGCAGTGTTCAGGCTGAGCCACAAGATGCCGTGGTCTTTTATGCAGTCCTCCCCTTCCTTACCAAGGCCAGCCTTCCCATTAAGATCAATTTGTTGAATTTTTTTTAATCTGTATTTTCATCTCTGTACTTTTTTTTTTATCATCTCCGTATTTTGGGGTTTCATCTTTAACAGAGAGGTGATCCAACCAGATGTAATGGAAGAAATGGTGGTTTCATGTGTGATCAAGCACTTGAATCTAGTCGATACGCTCCAGTCTCTCATAAACTTCCAGTACCAGGAGGAGCATGCTGAGGAATATGACTTACTTTGCAAAATTATGGGAGAAACCTTCAAGAAACTGAATGCCATGGAAAGACAACTGCAGGTAAAGCATGCAGTAAAAATCTGTTTTTTGTAGAGAGGAAAAAGTCATTGCTTTCAGAATGAAAAGTTGCATGTCCCAGGAGGCTGATCATACTCTTATTTTTCCTTAACTCCTGCTGAGGGAGTCCAGCCTTTTCATGTTGCTGTTTTCCTTTTGGCCAGAGTGTTGCTGAACTAGAACAGAAATGGCAAAGTGAGGTGGAAGATGCAATGCATGGAAAACTGGAAAACAACGTGCCCTTCTTTTACGATTATCACTTTAATGAGGTAAATCATCACATGTAGGCCCTGGCAGTGCCAGGGAATCTCAGATTATGCTGGTTTTGCTTTGTTTTTTTCCGAATTACTCTTCTCTCTCTCTCAATTCCTATAAAATGCTTAGTTGTATTTCTAAGTGCTCCTTGGTAAACTACATGCAGTGTTAAAACTGACTCCTGATTCTGTGTTGGAAATTAGATGACTGCTCTTGGTCCTGGGAACAGCTGGTTTCTCCAAGCATGTATGCGAGGGAAAGAGGCCTCCAAAGAGTTCTTGGAAGTCATGAGGGTTATAAACCAGAGTCATGGAATGAGTGGCAAGAAGTGTCTATCGTGTTTTAGTTCTTCCAGCTATCTAGAAAAGAGTGTAATTCTGGAACAAGGGAGCAGTTTCTGCAGAAATAGAATTCTTCATTCAGCAGAAACCTAGGAGTTCTTGCAAAGAAGAGCTAAAAGAATCACATAAACTAATCAAAAGTAGAAATATATGATGTCTTGAATCATGGACCTTCTGATGAAGCCTCTGAGAGGCTCACCTGCAAGGCATGAAAGCTGTTGTCCTTGCACATCTGACCCTTGGAGATAGACTGTTTTCTGAATATGGAGACCCAGGTTTCACCAAACAAAGAATAAAATCTTACATGGGTACTTGAGAAAAAAAGTATGAATATCTCTTGAATCAGCTGTATCTGGTCCTCTTTTCAGCATATTTGCTTCCCTCCCCCCTCCCTCTCCTCCTTTCAGAGCAAAATGAAAGAATTGGAACTTCTGTGCTCAATGAAAGAGATTTCTTTTGATGGAGGTGATCTCGAGAATATGGTCCTTTCACTGAGGTTGGTGCGACTATTGCAATTGTGATGGGGACCCTGCTTTTCCACCACTGCTCCTTCCTGGTTTGGGGGACGGTGTGTGTGAGTCACTCCACACACAGGGCAGACCCCGTCTCTTAAGCCCAGTCCATCCAGCTCTTTGCTCCTCACGGCCACCTGCCCTCTTTGCCTCCTTCTGGAGATACAGGGAATCAACCAACCTGTCTGTCTCTGGGCTTTCCCTTCACTGCTCTTTAGGGAGAAATTCTTCCAGGAAGTGAACTCGCTGATCCAGAAGCCTTTGCATCCCATGGCTAAGACCAAAATATTGGTCAAGAGCCTGATGAACCGAGCAGAGCTGCTGCTGCACGTCACCATCGCAGCCCAGTCAGGACTCACCAGAAGTATTTCTGGCACCCCAGCAGAGACGCCAGGTAGGGAGGGAGGCAGCGGAAAGGGGCGCGCCACAAAATCTGTCATCTTCAGATAAAAACCCTCACTGTACGTGGCCTCCTGCAAGCCACTGGCTGTTTCAGTTAACTAGATTGCCTGCAGCTTCTTCTTCTTCGTCAGACCTAAAGCAAATTACTTTTCATGAAATCCATTATTATGAGATAGCAACTGACAACACCAAGTCAAATGCCTGCACTACTTTCCCTGCAGAAAAGATTAATGGCAGCCATTTGTCTTGCATGTCCACTTAAGTCTTAGAAATATTTTTGCAAGCCACCTGTATGCGTTCCTGGAAACCTGCCTGTACCTGTTCTTACAGACCGTATTTCGTGATAGAGGGGGAGGCATGCAGGCACTTTTAAATAGTTGTAAATGTTCTTCTAGAGATGTTGTGTGTTTGTGTAGATGGTGACACCTACACATGGAGATTGCACATCTGGCTGTCCCCAATGTAAATGCTGAAAACCTGCAGACTGAGTGCAACAAAGGGACTGTCTGCTCTTCTTAGCAGCAGTCAGTGCTGAGTGCCGTTCTGGGCACCAGAGCTCAAGCGTGGCTGCCTGTCTTTCACGGGTTTTCTGAAACTGTGGTTTTTGACTATGAAGGTTCAGTCATTTTTCTGTTCCTTAATGTGCAGCTTGCAAGTCAGCCTCGGAAACAAAGGTGATATCCCATGCCGTTCGCCAGCCTGTTTTTCTCCGCAGCATGTCAGCACCATCTGATCTGGAAATGATTGCAAACGAAGATCTGGAGTTCACCAGGTCGAGCCAGAGGTTGGCACCCTCCTCTTTTGCCTTCAATTTCAGGCTGTATTAGTCAGCTTCTGGGGGTCATCTCACTAACCAGGCCTGGTGATCAACCCCTGTCTCAACACAGGCGGCGCCACGTTCCCAGCCACAGAAGCAGTTCCTTCACTCTCCTGCAGTCCCTGGCTATCGAGGACAGCCGAGACAAGCCCACCTACAGTGTCTTGCTGGGGCAGCTGTTTGCCTTCATTGGAACCAATCCTGAGCAAGCAGTAAGTCCCGCCTCTTTGGCTTATCCAGTTATCCTGGCCATGCATCAATTCAGTTCTCCACTAAACCTCAGAAACACCGCCATGTAAGCAGCCGAGAAAATGGCCAACACAAGCAATCTATGAATATTTAAAACCCATCAGGCTGTTAAAAACACAAATAGCCTACTATTTAAGAGGGTGAAACATCTAAGCATATTCTAAAATTGGTTTTTGTTCTGGCGACAATATGAGTCCCACTCCTCCTTTTTTATTCAACTAGCTTCGTTCAAAGGAAAGGCTGTGCCCGGAGCTCGCTCAAGTGAGTTGGCCAGTGGCACTGAGAGTCCAGGAAAGACATGCCACCTGCTCATACATCCTTTTCTCCTAGGTATCCAGCAGCAGCTTCCTCTTGGCTGCTCAAACGCGATGGCGCCGTGGAAACACCCGGAAGCAGGCCTTGGTGCATATGAGGGAGCTCCTGACAGCTGCTGTTCGTGTGGGCGGAGTGACGCATCTTGTGGGCCCAGTCACAATGGTGCTCCAGGGGGGCCCACGGTCAGTTCCTCTCAGAACCGCCTGTGCAGAGGGGACTGGCAGCTGGGGAGGGAGGCCGTTCCTGCGAGGGCAGAAAGGTCTGCAGGATAGACTTGCCAAAAAGCCCTCAGTGCCAAATTATGCTGCTTTCATGTTAGCAAAGCTCCTGTAGCCGGTCTCCCAGCAAGGGGCAATGCCTTCTCTCCCTGAGAGAAATCTTCCGCTTTCTGGAATCCCTGGGGATTATGAGCGTCAACGTCAGGCGGCGCTTTTCTTATCTTTTCCCTTTATTGCCACTGCTGTCCTCAGGTTGTTGGACTTCATCTTTCCCTTTCCAGGGAGGGGTGGGGGTTAATTCCACCACTCAGGCTGAGAAACCAGGCTCGGTCTCTCCTCTCCTATGTTTGTCCCTCCACTGGGTGGCTTGTGCTTGGAAGTGTTTGTGTTTTTCTCTTTCCTCAGAATTGAAGAGCTCACCTGCGGCGGGATGGTGGAGCAAGTGCAAGAAGCGTTTGGGGAGACCATGACTTCGGTGGTGGCCCTCTGTGCGCGCTATCCCATTGCTTGTGCAAACAGCATTGGCCTGTTGTGCACTATACCCTACACCAGGTGAGCTTGGCATGGCTGGAGTGGGCTGAAGTCAGACTTGCCAGCTCCCCTCGCCTTGCCTGCCCTGGGGTTTCCATTGACCCTGCCCCCCCACCCCCTGGGACGGAAATGTGACAGGCAACCACTGCTGCCTTCCACAGGAGCGAAGAGAAGTGCCTGGTGCGGAGTGGCCTGGTCCAGCTGATGGATCGGCTGTGCAGCTTAAGCAGCCAGACAGAGTCCAGCTCTAGCGAGAAGCAAACCAGGAAACAGAAGGTGGCCATCATGGCTTGGGCTGCCTTTCAAGTCCTAGCCAATCGTTGTGTCGAATGGGAAAAAGAGGAAGGTAGGAGGTTTGCTGGCTCCGCAGGAGCAGCAAGACTTAAAGGGAGTCCAGTGGAAGCAGGGGGGAGACCTTTCAGGGGAGGGGAGTGGCTGACGAGCTGGCTTTGTAAAGCCCCCTCGGGCCCAGTCATTTCCGTGGAGCTTAATCGATAGACTAGAAGGCCGAAGAACAGCATGTCTTTCCAGCTCTTCAGCTTGGGGTGCTTCCTTTCTCCTTGCTGAGATGCTCATGCTTGGGGGGAAAGGCTTCTGATGAGGAGGAGGGTCATCCCTCCTCCCCAGATGGGCCAGGGCCACCATTTGCTGCACTGGAGTTGATCTCACCAGGGCCGGTCCTTTTGCAGGGGGATCCACAGAGGCGGTGCATTCAGGCCTCGCTCGCCAGGTTTCTAGTCTCTTAACCAATCACCTAGCCCGGGCCACCGAGTGCTGTGGCAACCAGGCAGCTGGGAACGACGCCCTACAAGATGTCCTTAGTCTTCTGAATGATCTTTCCAGGTACAGTCTACTAGGCGGCCTCTGGTTTGAGGGGTTGACCTATCACGGTGTTAAATCCTGCTGTGACTGGCATGTTATGCTACTGAATAATACTCCTAATCTTATCAGAAACTGTTCTGCTCTCCAGTCAAGATACCATTCTGTGGGTCCTTCCTTCCTTCCTTCCTTCCTTCCTTCCTTCCTTCCTTCCTTCCTTCCTTCCTTCCTTCCTTCCTTCCTTCCTTCCTTCCTTCCAACACTAAAGCAAACAATATTTCTTCCCTCCCAGGAGCCATATTGGCAAAGCCATCCTCAGCCAGCCAGCCTGCGTGTCCAAGCTCCTTTCCCTGCTCCTGGACCAGCGGCCCTCTCCAAAGCTGGTCCTCATTATCCTTCAGCTCTGTCGTGCTGCTCTGCCCCTGATGAGTGTCGAGGACTGTGGGAATGTGGAGCTGCCCCCTTGGAGCTACTCTGTGCCTTCCCTGAACAGCGAACAAGATGATCCCAGTGACCCAGCATCCAAAATTGCCTCCCTGCTCCTGGCCAAGCTGGCGGATTACGTTGTTCCAGGTAGCGAATGGCTGAATTTCCTCTGAACCGATCAGGAGGATTCAGAAAGCACTCCCTTTCTAAACACTTTGGAAGCTTCCGCGAAATATTCTCTTAAACCAAACTGCCTCTTGAGCTCGTTACAGAGGCATCCTCTATTCCGGCAGAGCTTCTGCTTAGAAACCCCTCGTGTCTTTCACTTCCTTCTGCCAGAGACTCCATAATCGCAGATCTAAATTCTGCCCTACACATGCAGAAATCTGAAGTGGCAGATAAAAGATACCATATGAATATTCCTTACAGTAAATGTACAGTACGGGGAAGAGTTTTTCTTTAATGTGGATGATTGTTAAAAATGATATTCCTATCTGTCATGAAAAGAGGTACAGCTGGTGTCTTCTGTTTTGCTATATATGTCTGGGCTCAGGGGAGAGGGTGTTGGCCGAGTTACTAAAGGATTGTATTTTGAGTTCTGTGTTTGATGAATCTGCCCCATTAAATAAGGGAGAACAAGCTACAGGTCAAATTGAATTTGTAGAGAACATTTGCTCTTTGAAATCAAAGTTAAATCTTAGTTTCTCCCCCCGCAACAGGATGCCAGACTGTTCTTTCTCCAACCGCTTCAGAGCCAGATACTTCACTATCGAAAGCTAATCCCAAAAGTTCCCTTAAAGGAGACAAAGATCCAGGAGAAGAGAGTGAGGCTGTGGATGGTAAACTTTCCATATTTATTCACAAGCGGGAAGATCAATCATCTCACGAGGTCCTTCAGCCGCTGTTAAGGTAACTCAAGCTGTGTGTAGTCCAGTTAAGGACTGAGCGCTCCCCTGCCACATTCACACCCTGTTTTGTTCTTCTTTTTACAGTAGTTCAGAAGGTCGGCCATTTCGCCTTGGAACGGGTGCTAATATGGAGAAGGTGGTTAAGATGGATCGAGATATGACTAAAGTAAGAGCAACGTAAATGAGAGTTTTGTAAATAGCATCATCTCTTTCTCCAAGAGTAAATCTTAAAATGCGCCGCTGTCTTTCTATCTGTTCTCACTATCTTAGTTTTTGTCTTTTTCTTTTAGTTCTGTCTTCTTTCTTTTCTATACGTTCTGATTTGTATTTTAAGTCTGCTTTTTATATATCTTAATAAAAGTTTCAATTAAAATGCGCTGCCAAGATGGCATATTTTGCCTGCAGAGCTGAGGGACCTCTAACAATCATTCGTGCTGAGGCCACAGCGTTGGCCAAGTGCAACAGAGGCGTTTCTTTCCCAGAGCGGCTGCTGCGAAGTGATTACGGAGGAGGCGGCTGCGGCTTTGCGGAAGGCCACCAAGTGGGCACAGTCCGGGCTAATCGTGAGTGTGGGGCCACCGGTAGAAACGGTCAGTCCTGAAAACACCGGTGGCCTCTCGACCGGGGACAAAAAGAAAACTG